ATTACAGTTGTGATGATGTCACTTCTAAACCAAAATATGCATGAAAGAATATGCAGCATTGAATAGAAATACATTGCATCATGTGAAGACGAGCTGGTGTTTTATGATTTCCAATTACATTTCATACACGTTAGAACTAGTTTTCACCAGTATTTCATCTCTTTTCCATTAACCACATTCATCATAATCAAAGTCACAAGGGAAACCACGTAAAGATACAGATTTCCAAGGTAGAATATTTATGATTCTGTTTATTCTTTGTGTGTACATTTGGGTTTGCTGAATCTTTGAACTTAATGTAAAGCGCATTTTTAGACTTGTCCATTTAAACTAACATGTTTATAAATAACTAAATTGTAGAGCTAAAAGCAGGCTGATCCTGTTTCTGAATGTTCATGGGACTTGGGCTTAATTGACTGGTTTGATTTTTGAGCTACTTTTGTTTTCCTTGCCAAACATTCTACTAGACCTGTTAACAAGAAATGAAATGGTCATAAGGCTGGGATCCAGAGGAAGAGAGATAAACAAAGGTTTGTGTAGCACTGTATACAAACATAATAGTTGGCCACTGTAACTAAGAGTTCCTGTATGAGGCAAGATATCTGTGACTACATTCATGGTATGCATTGAATTTTGTTAAATATTCTTCTTCTTAGAATTGTGTGAAGAAAAGGACAGAGAAATTTATAGTTATTTATGGAGAACCTGCACATACAGAATTTCATTCATTCATATATACATTCATTTATCCATTCACCTCATTTCAGGTCAGATCTCTTGAATCACTATGTTGGCCTTTAATTTTCCATGTCAGGAGAGAGAGGTTTCTAGGGAAATTTAAATCTTCTATTTTTTCTTTAATATTTTCAAGTCAAAGCTCGATTAGAAATTTGAAGAAGCAAGTTATAGAGGCTTAAGGTTTTTTTAAAATTAGGTTCTGAACATTACCACATACAATGTGTTACTCAAAATATAACTAAATCTCTTTGTTAATGTACACCAACAATGAAATATCAGAACCAAAAATCAGGAAAAAAAATCCCGTTTGCTATAGCAACAAGAAAAGTAAAGTACCTAAGAATAAACTTAACCAAGGAGGTAAAAGCCTGTATGCAGAAAACTACACAACACTGAAGAAAGAAATTAAGGAAGACGCAAGTAAATGGCAGCATATATCATATTCATGGATTGGAAGAATCAATATCATTAAAATGTCCATACTACCCAAAGCAATTTATAGATTCAACACAATCCTATTAAAATACCAATGACATATTTTGCAGACATAGAACAAACATTTAAAAAATTTATATGGAACCATAAATGACCCAGAATAGCTGCAGCAACTTTGAGAAAGGAAAACAAAATAGGAGGGATCACAATACCTGACATCAAACTATATTACAAAGACACTGTAATCAAAACAGTCTAGTATGGGCATAAGAACAGACTCAAAGATCAATCGAACAGAATAGAGAGCCCAAAAATAAACCCATGTCTATATGGTCAATGAAGATTCGACAAAGGTGCAGAACTATAAAATGGATGCAAAATAGCCTCCTCAACAAATGGTATTGGGAAAGTTGGACAGCTATAGGCAAAAAATTGAAATTCGACCACCAACTGACACCATACACAAAAATAAACTCAAGATGGATAAAGGACTTAAATAAAAGTCGTGACACCATAAAAGTCCTAGAGGAGAACATAGGCAGGAAACTCTCAGCTATCCCACCCAGCAATATTTTCACTGATATATCCCCTAGAGCAAGGGGCATAAAGGAAAGAATAAACAAATGGGACTTCATCAAAATAAGAAGCTTCTATATGGCTAAAGAATACATTAGAAAAATGAAAACGGAACCAACCACATGGGAAAATATATTTGCCAATGATACCTCAGACAAAGGTTTGAGTGCCAAAATATATAAAGAACACACACGACTCCAATCCAGGAAGACAAACAATCCTATTAAAAAATGGGCAAAGGATCTGAACAGACATTTCTCCAAGGAGGACATACACAGGGCCCAGAGACATATAAAAGGATACTCTTCATCACTAGCCACCAGAGAAACACAAAGTAAAACCACAACAAGATGCCATTTCACACTGGTCAGAATGGCCATCATAAACAAATCAACAAACAACAAATGCTGGCAAGGTTGTGGAGAAAAGGGAACCGTAGTGCACTGTTGGTGGGAATACAGAGTGGAGAGGCCACTGTGGAAAACAGTTTGGAGTTTCCTCAGAAAGCTAAAAATGGAACTGCCTTTTGACCCAGCAAATCCAGTGCTGGGATTATACCCTAATGATCCCAAAACACCAACACAAAAGAACCTATGCAACCCAATGTTCATAGCAGCACAATTTACAATAGCCAAGTGCTAGAAAGAACCTAAGTGCTCATCAGTCAATGAATGGATCGAAAAACTGTGTTACATTTACACAGTGGAATACTACACAGCAGAAAGAAAGAAGGAGTTCCCACCCTTCACAACATCATGGATGGAACTGGAAAGCATTATGTTAACTGAAATAAGCCAGGCAGTGAAAGTCAAGTACCATTTGATCTCACCTATAAGTGGAACCTAATCAACAAAACAAACAAGCAAGGAAAATATAACCAGCAACAGTGAAAGAGAAAGAAAACCAACAGAAAGGAGAGGGAAGGAGGGAGGGAGGGTAGCAGGGAAAGGAAGGGGAAGGGTCAAATCAAAGAACATGTATGAAGGACACATGGACAGAGCCAAGGTGGGGAGGGATTGAGGTAGAGAGGAAGGGGTGGGAGGTGCAGGGGGAAGTGATGGCAGGTAAATGGAGACAAATGCATTAGAACAATAAAAAAATAAATAAATAAAAAATAAATCACTGTTAATGGAAAATAGATTGAGGTATCAATTGATTGTTACATACATATGAAAATTATCTGAGAAATTTTATAAAATTTAAATAATTTTTATCACCTCTTAATAAATAAGATACACAACTTGGTATACATTCAAGTATTAAATGTAGGAATTATAACCTTCACAGTACTAATACATAATTCACAAAAGAGTATGAATTAAGAGTTTTTACCTGTGAAGGGAAAAAATCAAAGAAAGCTATATTCTATCATCAGAATAGCAAATGGAACTGCATGGTATAGAAGGGTCTTATTAGAAAAATTATGTGTACTCATAAATTAGGTGTGCGTGGATATTTACCAAAAATAATCTATTATTTGCTCAAGGTCTTCCACCATTACTCAGTCAAGTCTTAACTCAGGTCTTCTGGATATGGAGGAGTGGTGATTTTCATTCTTTTTGTAACATGATGGTTTTATAGTTAAAACCATATTATAGCAACAATAAATGAAGAGAATTATAGTGTGGTAACATATGCAGGCTTTGAAATGAAAGACAACTATGTTGGGTATCTGTTGCAGTACTAGCTAATTGAGTGACCTCTTCGGCATGTTTCCTAAATCCACAATATTTTCAGTTGAGAAAATGGTAAAATGAGAATAATGAATATTACTAAGGCATTAGAATTATGTGAAGATAAAGTGGTGCAAAATATGTCACATAGTAATGTAATGTTACATGTTTCTAAAAATAAAAAAAACCACAAGTGTTTCTTGTATATTAAAAATATAAATTTTCCATATATTTTTCTATTTAAAATGTTTTGTATTACTTAGTTTCATAGTTGTCATCATAATGTTTATAGAGTTATATATTTTCAGGTCTGGTTCACATAACATTATTATGCAACAATTGTTTAAAGTGCAGTAGTCTTCAGTTATTTTACTTCAGAATAAATGTGGAATTAAAACTCACAATTGACTAAATCAGTACCTATAGTTGAACATTTATTCTATTTGTAGATTTTATATCAGTATATTTAATGCCTTTGTGTCTAATGCTTTTACATTTCTTATTTATTTTGGGATGAGTTTCCAAAAATAACAGCATAGTGTATTCAGATTGCAATTTTTTAGCTTTATAACTAATTAATTGTGTGCTGATAAATGGGTTAATTATCCTCTTTATAACTTAGTTTGCTTATTTGTAAATTGGAAATGATAAGTTAATATATATAAAATAATTAAACCATTATCTTGTATGTAATAAGTTCTATCTAAATACATATAAATGCTTGTTAAAAGGTTTAATGGTATTTAAGGCACATATTTCAAAAATGGTTATTATAGGTTACTACCACTCTTGCTGATGTGGCTCAGTGGATTGAGTGCTGGCCTGGGAACCAAAGTGTCTCTGGTTTGATTCCAAATCAGGGCATTTGCCTGGGTTGTGGGCCAGGTCCCCAAGTAGGGGAGGAGTGAGAGGCAACCACACATTGATATTTCTCTCCCTCTCTTTCTCCCTCCATTTCCTTCTCTCTAAAAATAAATAAATAAAATCTTTTCAAAAAGTTTACTGCCGAGAGCAATTTTAATTTTATTTTCCTTTTAAACATAGGATGAATTTTTTAATTTTAATGTATTAATTGGATACGGATAAAAAGGTTAAAATTATTAAACTTAATTGTTCTGTACAATTCACATGTTGAATCCAAGAAGGTAAGGACTTTGATTTACTCCTTTCTGGCTAACCAGCACAAGATAATACTTAGCTCAGAGCTGTATAAATACCTGTAGAAAGTATAAGTGATTGTGGAATTCTTGGTTGTATTGAGCTTGAAGACAGAAATACTTGATTATGTAAATGAGCTATGATGCAATTAAAATGAAGAAAAGGCCATATTTTGTGTTCATGGAAAGTCATTCCAAATAAGCCAATTTAGATATTGTAGGTTATGGACTCTTATTCTGGGGGGTGGAAATCAATTTAAAAAACATTATTTTCTATTGAAATTTAGTTTTTTAAAATTGCAACTTTGAAAAATGTTTCATTTTTTAATGTTTGACTATATTAAAGTGTATTTTATATATGTTCATTGCATATTTGTTAAACTATACTGAAGATTATATATATAATTTACCATATACCTAGGTAAACCAGTTATGATTGTCACAGAATACATGGAGAATGGTTCCTTGGACAGTTTCTTACGTGTAAGTAGATTTTTATATACATTTACATATATCTTATATCTCTCCATATTTGTCTATACACATACATACATAATATGGAAGGAATTACTGAAATATTAGAGACTACCTCTGATATTGTGCCAAACAATTGGATAATCAAAGTTCAAGATAGGATTGAAATTTGCTGAGACTAAATAACAAGAGGAAATTTGCTGAGACTAAATAACAAGAGTAAATTTGAATTTTTATCTTGAAGCATCTAAATGTTAATGGTTTATATTTTTAAAACAAAATTGTTCAGTCTTCTTTGGCCTTTTCTTATTGCCAAGATTCACATCAGTTAAAATAACAATAAAAAGTAATCCTAAAGTAAGGCAGATAACATTAATGTAAGAAATATTCCCTTTTCTTTACTTAAAGTAACCTGAGACTGCTGCAAGATAAAAGACCATTTATTTCTCACATAGCGCTGTCCACCAGAAAATAAGCATGTGTTATAATGCTAAAGTATCCACAATTTAGAGATGTCATTTTAGAACAAATATTATGTTAAAAAAACATACAAGTATTTAACACTGTCAATCACTAGTCACTGCAAGGAATAAAGACATAGACCCTATCCTCAATGTGCTTTCAGTACTGTATAAATAGAGAGAGATGGAGAGATAGATAGACAGATAGATAGACAGTATAATTCATTATCATGGAGAAAAATTCCAAATTTTGCATGAATGAAAAATTATATTATTAATGTTAATATTCATGAGCCAAATACAAATTTAATTAGAAATTATTTTCCTAAACAAATTTCAAAAACGTTTTTTCAAATTAGTTAATTAAATCACAATAATTTTTTAAAATATTATTGTGGGGATTGGGTGGGGGAGGCAAGGCAGGGGAGAGCAACAGGGGACACTAACTAAAAAAAATTAAAATAATTAAAAAATAAAATATTGTTCATGTAGACATAACTGGACATGGAATTTCATATTTATGTATGTGTATGTATGTATATATGTCTCCATCTTTCCATTTACCTATACTCTAAACCATGTATTTCTACTTTAATCCAAGTAAATGAAGCTTTTCTAAATCCAGAACTCCAACTTTATGTCCTATTTCTTTCTGTTTTATAACCTACAATTCAAGGTCAGGTAGAAAATATATTTCAGTACATATTTTTAGCAAACTTAACATCCACCTTCTTTGAAGCAATTAATGAAATATCGAGAAAACTAGAAAGAAGAATGAATATTCAAACCAATGAATAAAAAACCTATACCATAAGATCCATTTCGTTTTGTTGTTCTTGAACTGAAAATTTCTGAGGTGTTAGTATGTCACACAAACAGGAGGAGAGTTCAGGTTTGCATTCAAAGTGAAAAATAGTAAGGTACTTCTTGTTACATAGTAGTTAGTAATGCAGCAGCTATGCTGTGTTGTTTTATTTAGCCTTATATCCATTTAGTCATGTATCTTGTTAGGCAGGAGTGCTTAGAACTGAAATGTACAGTCAGTATTGTTACCATTTAGTATATGAGATTTTAACCAAGATATATCTTTGAGAGATACAACAAGTCTTCTTAATTGTACATTTGAAATACTCCTCAGAAACATGATGCCCAGTTTACAGTCATCCAGCTGGTGGGGATGCTTCGGGGCATAGCATCTGGCATGAAGTACCTCTCGGATATGGGCTATGTTCACCGAGACCTCGCTGCTCGGAACATCTTGATCAACAGCAATTTAGTGTGTAAAGTTTCTGATTTTGGACTTTCACGTGTTCTAGAAGATGACCCAGAAGCTGCTTATACGACAAGAGTGAGTAAACTCTTTTTTTCCCCCATTTATCTTTGTTTTCAAACTTGTATTATGTTGATTTGTAAATATATAGAAACCATGCCCCACAATGCCTTGTTATTTACATTTTCTCCCAAAAAGAAATTTATCCTTTAATATTAAAATATTGGTACTAACACATGAAAATAGATGATCTTTATTCATGAGAGCAGCGATGATTTTAATTCTGAAAGCCCATGCATTGATTTAATGATTCCCTGAAAAGGGCAGCAAGGTTCTCACATGCCTGCGGTCTTGGTATTTTTTAGAGTTACAGTTTTCCATCATGGTTGAGAATGTAAGTACATTGTATATATTCTCAGTACCCCCATCCAAATATATATTGTTTTAAATACTTTTAAATTAATATGTATGTAACATATTAATATTATAAAAATTTCAATATAAAGCAACAAAAAGAAGAGAACTCATTCATAATTGTGCCACCTGCAAAGAACATTTATAACTTTCTGAGTTCTCTCAGATTTTTCCTGCATACCTATATTTGTACACGTAGATACATAGTTAAAATGGGATTATGCATAATACCATTGTATAACCTATTTTTCTCCTTGGCAACATACTTCTTAAACATAGTTCACTGTTAAATAATCTTTATATTTTTAAGTTTAGTAGTTTGATGTATTCTATTTTCTAATTGTTCCATTTTTAACCAAACCTTAATTAGTGGTCAAATTATTATAATATTTATTTCTCAATATTTTTTAAAATGTGAATATAATTAACCTACATTCATAATTACATGAGTCTGATAATTTACCAACAATATATCCTTAAAAGTAAATTTTCTGTGTCAAAGAGTCTATGCTATTTTAAAGAATGTGTAACTATATTCCTGATAAAACTTGATTTTATCATTATTTTTAGGATCATTAGTTGTGAGCTATTGTATTTAATTGTCTTAATTTGTGTTCTTTTGATTCAAAATGAATGATTATTTCATCATATATTTACTAGCAGATTTCTTTAAAATACTATTTCTTTAAATAACTTCTCTTCCATGACAGAATATTTTAAAAATAAAATATAATAATCATTAATGATACTACCCAAAGTTAGCCAGTTTTAACACTTTAATTTTTTATTTCCAAAATATTTTTACACATTTTCATATGTAAACAATACCAATTCTGCATATACTTACAAAAATGATACCATTATATATGTATATATGTGTGTATATAAAATGATTTCTCACATCAATATATCCAGTATATTCATCTATAAATGTAATGTTTTGTAATTTCCATTTTTTAACATAAAATATAGAAAATCTCAGATAATATTTTTAAATATTAAATAATGTATAGTACTCCATTTTTATGTATATAATTTATTTATCTAATCCACTAGTAATTGGGCAGAATTCCAGAGTGCTGATATCGTTAATAATAATGTGGTATATTTTGATATGCAATTCATGTCTGTCCATAATTATCTTCTCAAGATAAATTTTTATAATTAAAATTTCTGAGTGTGCAACTCGGTGAGAATTTTGGTAGATGAATCACTTAAAGGTTTTTCATATAGTTTGTTATTTTCATTCCTAGTAGCAAAATATAATATAAAGAAGCCTATTCCTCCTTACTCTCACCAGCCAAAAGAATGGGCAGTTTCCTTTAAAAGTCAACTTTTGCTATTTCCTTCTTATTTAATTCTAAAAGTTTACCCCTGATTTAAAAAAAGTCATTTTTTTCCTGAAATTACCAATCTTGAAAAGTCCATGAGCAACCACCAAGATTGTCTGTAGCATCAAAATCACACTCTGGAAGAGCTCAATATGCCATACTGAGTTTCATCTATAAATATAACAATAGCAACAGGTCTATAGAAATATGAAGCACAGTATTCTGGAGATAGTCCTAAAAGTGTTGATTTAGGGTCTGGAACATTCCTGATGGCTTTATATATACACTATCGTTTGCATTTCCCATTTTCAGTTAGACTCTGTAGTGGATTCACTTTGTTCATGAACCAAAGTATTTTTTTTAATGTGTCCTGCATAAAAATGTTCTTAGAAAAAGATTTCATTAAGAGTAAGTAAAACAAAAGACAATTTTATATCTAGCAGCTAGTTGAATTAATTTAGAACAGTGATTATGAAGGAACAGCTCTGAAAACTTGATGTAATTACAAAACAAAGGTAAATGTCTTGATTGTGCTTTTCAGTTATCCTCAGGTGTCCAGGAAAATTAGTCAATCAACATTCTGCAGAAAAGGATTAAATTATCATCCCAGAAGATAACATATACAATAGATGATGATATATTTATTGTCTCCAAGAATGTATTGTTTTTTTACTCACTGCTAGTCTCTATTCTAAAGATTTCCTTCATAAAGTTCTACTGCTAGATGAGTGTTTAAAATACTCCATAAAAATATTATTCTTGCTGACATTTTCCTTGTTGTTACAATAGTCACTTTACCCAAAAATATGTCCCATTTTAATAAAAATATTTGATTAAGAAAAGGCCTTTATTAGAAATATTCAATTTCTGGTAATTAAGTCAGGCTCTAATCCTTTGCTGTATCCCATTTTTAAATGAGAGCACATTTGTTCTCAATACTAATCTCGATTTCTTGTATACTCAAAGGAACACTTTCTCTTATAGGAACTTGAAAAATCCATACAAACCTAGATCATCTGCTTCTGGAAGAATATTGGTTTAACTTTCATAGCTTTATTTACACCTACCGTTACTTTCTCAGGACCAAGTAGGAAAAAGGTGTTGCTGTGTCAAAATTCCTCTTTAGCATCCGTGAAGTCAAAGTGCAACAAGCTCTTTGCATTTATGTTTCATTTTTGGATGATTCTTAAAAAACAAATAGACCAAATGGGCTCATTCACTACCAATGAATAACTGTATAGAGTTCTTCAGTATTCACCCTTTTATTTTCTTGAAATTCCTCAAAATACCCATGGAGGTCCTGGATTCCTTCTGAGAAGCTATAGTTTGCATCTGCACTTCTATAATAATTTTGATACTTTAATTTAGTCTTCCATAGTAAGTCTTGTTTGGTATAATAATTTTATAATTTACTGTAAAATATGAGGTGTGGTTATAAAGCAATAGGACTGCTATTTTGTTTTTTAAACCAGCGCACAGAAACAATTCAGAGTATTGCTACACAAAGTTGTCTTTAAGAAACTTATACTTACTGGGGGAACAGTACTATAACACGAAATGTTTTGTGAATGCCCCTTTTGAAATTATCTTTAAGCCTAATTCTGAATGAGACCATCACTCAGCATTGTATAAGTATATAGCAAGTTTGACTGAGACAAAATCCTTTGTTTCAATAAGCTTATAGTTAATAAATAAGAGAAATAGTAAAGTCTGTTGTTTTTGTTTTTGTTTTAACCAGGACTAGTTTTATCAAGTGTAGACATTCACCTTATTTATTTTATTTAACATGCTATGATTATTTCAGAAAAACAAGGTCACCACTTAAAAGTGTGCCAAGGACATTCTTTTTGGATAAACACATTCTGGTTAATCTGTTTTACCAATCATGTTACTTTAGTCACACTCTACACATTTCACCAAGTGTCACTCTAATTAAGAAATTAGCATCGGAGCCCCAATGCATTAAACCGTTCCCATTGCTCCTCAAAGATGTATTGTCTGTGTGTGTTACCAGCCATTAAGCTGACCTTGATTCCTGGTGACTATGAATAAGTGATGTCCACGATGTTCTGTCCTCAACTGCCCCACTCAGCCCCTGCGGATTCGTGCCTGTGGCTTCTTTAATGAAGTCAGCCCTTCTCATATTTGCTCCTCTTTTCCTGCTGCCTTCTATTGTTCCCAGTATCATTGTCTTTTCTGAAGAATCTAACCTTCTCATGATGTTTTGTCATTTTTTCCTTCAACGATAATTCAGGCTTAATCTGCTCTAGGAAACACTTGTTTTTTTGCCTTTAGGTAAAGTGTAATAACACTAAAGGATTATTGGAGGCATTTGATTCAATGCCACTGACTAAATGTATGCTATCTGCAGTTCTGATTTTTAAAACATCTCTACAATATGCAGGCAGGGTAGAACAATGAAAAAGAAATTACATAAATTAATTCTATATTTAAAAATTCTTAAACTGGAGAGATTGTCCGAGGTGTTGAGAAAATGTTTGGCCTTAAAACTTAACAGCAATTTATTCAATACCAGACTTTTTCCAGTGTTGCTTGTTGTGTATGACAATTTTTCCTTCCTTATGTCTTCAATAGTATGCCTAAAAAGAGAGGTCAATTAAGATAATAATATACACTTTTTTGTGTTTTCTCTTTTTCATGAAGGCATCAGATAAGAAATCAAAATTATTTCCAATACTCACTTCTAGTTATTCTCCATTTCTCACTACTGAGTTATGCAGAAATTCCAAATATTGATACTTTCCATTATATGATATTATTATACATCCTATAACTTTTATAAAATTCCATTGCATGTTCATGAGATGTTGAGAGTGAAAAAGTCTATAATGTTTTAGTTAGTATTATACTGAAAATAGCTCAGTCTTGCCAGCTCCCTGAAATGCCATTGGGGACACCCGGAAATGCTTGGATGACACCATGAGAACTGCTGGTGTGGATACCTTATCTGCAATAAAAACATTTTACAAACTAAATAAATATTTTAGCAGTAATTAAATGATATAAACTCTGACCTATGTGATATCATATTTTTGAAGAAAAGGTTTGAAGCATAAGTGCAGCTGCATACTAAAGGTTGCAAATCATCTTGGAAGGCCCAGGATTTTATTCGGGATGGATATGGTTGGAGCATTTAGCTCTGCAAATTTAAACCATCAAAGAACTTTTGTTCTTGAGAAAATCAGGCAAACAAAAATTGAATTTTCTCTCTTTGGTTCCCCATTATGTGAATTTCAAAGTATAACTATGGCATGTGTCATATGTTTTACAGTGAACTACTAATTTGTTTTATTTCATTCCAGCAGAACCATA